GTGACAGGCCCTTGGCCCCTGTGCTCTACACTGGGACCAAGTTGATGGTCCCTGGGTGCCTTCATCTCCCATCACCACCTCTTGGAGACCGATTCCAAGTGAAATGGGGGTCCCTGTCCACACACAGGTACTGTAGCACAGCCCACACACAGCAAGTTCAGCAGTGCTAATAGCATTGCAGGCTGTGCCCGAGCCAGGGTTACCTGTCTGGGGTAAATCCAAACCTCGTGAGCTGACCCAGGGGAGCCGGGAGGGTGGATTTGCCACCGGCAGCACAGGCAAGCCTTGTTCCTCAGCCCTGCTCTGCAAAGCAGAGGAGGAGCAGGCACCCCAGGGATTTCCAGTCATGGCTCCTTCAGTCCTACACATCCAGTGCTAGCAACACACACCTTACTCTGCTCACCCTTCTCTATGGGAGACGTGCAGACACCTAATCCTCAGCAAATGTGAATTAGCAGTGCGAGAACTGAGCATCTCTTGTGTCTGAAACACTCAGGACCTGCCCCAGCACTGTGTGCTTGCAACCCAGAGCACGCAGCGTGAGCAGCAGGTCAGGGAGGAGATTCCCCCCCTCTGCTGTGCTCTGAGGAGACCCAGGTCTGGGATTCTATGATGACCTTTTAAGCCACGGGGATTTGGTGTCCTCTTCCGTTGCACTCATCGCTGTCCATCCCCGAGCACTGCTCACCCTGGTGGGAGCAGATCACAGAAGAAGGGGATGTAGGACAGCAGGGAACAGTGGCAATGATCTGGGCTTAGGGTGAGGCTCAGTGACTCACACATGTGGCTGGCCTGTTATTTTCCTGGTTTACGGGATTTCCAGCCCTGGGGAAGAACTGATGGAGCCATTGCCTGTCTGGCTCCCCAGGCTGGTGCAGGGCCCTTGTGTAGCAGGGATGGTGCTTTGAAAAGAGGGGTGAGCCTGCGGGTGCTTGGGGTCGGGTATCCTATTATCCCAGCCAGCCAGCCACTTTCTCTGCTCTTCCTAAAACCTAAGAGCAAGTGTCCGGTATGCTTTGGTGCGAAATGGTGTTGGAAACTCTGGTGGGCAAGGAAGGAGGATCCGATTGGGAAACAAGCCCCACCTCAGTCCGCCCTGCCTGCAGGCTCCCTGTCTCTCCACCCAGCTGGCTCCAGGATGCTTGTCCCCAAGTGCTCTGGCCACAGGTCCTTCCCCAGTGAGGAGGATGATGGGTGCTGCCTGTTGAGGCCTGCTTGCCTTCCTGGTATTGCCTTCAGCTTGGCACTTGGGAGCTGGGGTGGGAGATGCCTTTTGCAACCCAGCAAAAGCACAGGCAGTAGTTCTGGCTCTTCATCCTGCCCCACTGCTATGAGTCACTGGGATTTCTGCCTTCCCATCTGGATGTGCAGAGAGGCCACAGACTGATGTGCCACGATCTTGTTATCCCAGCAATTACACAGCCACCACCAATCCCTCTATTGCTATCACCAGCCCCGTGCTGCCTGGGGTTTCCATTGCTGATGGTGCCACTTACTTGCTGTTCACACCAGTCTTCCCTTTCCCATGACAGCTCCATACTGTGCTGGTTCAACTCACACCATGACTTCATCCCTCCACCTGCCTCATCCACACCCACTGCCATGCGAGATACTCACTGGCTGATGCTGTTGGGTTCCCCAAGTACAGAGAAACCTCAGTGAGCTCATTTGCCACCTGAGCTGGTGGAAGTGGGGATGTTCCCTTGGTTACATGCACCCCAAACAGAACATTGACACCCCTAACACTGTGACATCAATAAGGAGCTATCCCACCACCTTCCCAGCATGTTTTGACTGCTCCCTGCTGAGCTGGTGTACCTCACCATAGTGCATGCACTGTAGTGTCTGCTGCTGCAGTTGTCTTCACCAAAGCAAAGGAAGACAGAAAATGCAGGGAAAGAGGGGTCTCCAGGAAACAATAACTGCTGCCAGAGGAGGATGCTGGGTGACAGCATGGAGAAGGTTTCCTGCAAGGACATAATCAGGTGAGGGAGGATGGGAGGTGAGCAGAACACAAGACCCAACAGATTCATGCATGGCGTCTGGGCTGTGCTCCAGGATCTTCTGACAAATGCTTCTGTTGCTGCTGCTCTTTTTGAAATCCATAAGTAAGTGATGCTGGGACCAGGACCCAGCTATTTCCCTCCATGTGCATCCTTCCACCCACTAAGCATTGTTTTTCATCTCATGAAAGATGTAGTTCCCTCTTGGTCTGTAGTTCACTGTTTCTCACCAGGGCCTTTGGTAGGAACCTGTATTTTAGGGCCTGATCAGCAAGTCTGTGGGGTCCTGCCCTGGGCAAGCACTGGCTTGGGGGGATATGTGGTACAGTGAATTCAGGACGGCTCCCAGCTGGGAGCCACAACACCCATGGGAGACAGGGTGCCAGATCCCTTAGGATAGGGAGCACTGGAGGGCACTGAGGTCCTCACTTGCCTGTCTGCAGAAAGGCATCACAATTTTCAAGTCAAATCAAGGGCTAGCAAACAAAACAAAACAAAACAAAATCATGTAGTAATAGAACCATGGAATGGTTCAGGTTGGAAGGGACCTTAAAGCTCATCCAGTTCCACAGGGAGGGACACCTTCCACTGGAACAGGTTGCTCCAAGCCCCTGTGTCCAACCTGGCCTTGAACACTGCCAGGGATGGGGCAGCCACAGCTTCTCTGGGCACCCTGTGCCAGTGCCTCAGCAAGAACACCTGCAACACCTCACCAGTGAAGTCATTCAGTGAAAAGCCACATAAAAATGCCATTGCTCGTTCCCCCTGCTCCATCCTGGACCCTCCTATGATGGAAGAACGTTACATGAGCCCTGGATGGCTACATCTTTCTAACACAGCTTTTGCTGGGAATCCAACCCTTTTCCTCATTGTAGTGTTCAGGAGAATTTTGCATTCTGTAGGTAATTCCTGGAGCTTGGATAAGAAATAAACTGATAAAACATCCCTAGGAGAGGTCTGCGGAGCCACAGCTCTCCTCTCCTGGTGCTCAAGGTGCTGGGCAATTGCCACATGAATTTTCCCCAAATTAGGATCACCTCTGTGAAGATCTCCTGAGCAATAAAACCAGTTGAGCTTGGGCAAAGGCTTTTGAAGACCAATATGCTTTCAGGCTCAGCCTCATTATAAGCACTCATATGCTCTATGCAAATTGTCAGACTACCAAAATGCAGGACTCTTATTCCTCCTTCCATCAGCTGAATAGGTTCTACTTGGTACATGGCATCTTAAAAAGAGGCTTTACTCAGTGCCTGACATCTTCCAGAGACACCTGCACCCCCTCCTTGTAAAGCAATTACTCTTCAATTCACCAATGTGTCCAATTAAAGTCTTGGGTCCCAGTCTTTGGAAAGAGCTCACTGTGCTGGGGCTGGGGCTGGGGCTAGGGCTAGGGATGGGCTTACCCTTGTTGTCTTCTAACTGGCCAGCATGGGACCTGCAGGTGTCTCTACACAGCAACAGAGCAAAGCTCTGAGTGCTGGTCCAGTTGTTGCTGTTGCCTCTGTACCTGTAGCACACAGGGAAATCAGTTTCTTCTTCATGTCCTCATTATTATGTTTATATATCTTCCCTGATCGCACCACCACAGGTGTGAGCGTCCACCACGCTTGGTGTCTCAGAAATGTCAGAAAGACTCAAGCTGCACCAGGGCAGGTTTAGATGGAGCTGAGGAACAATTCCTTCCCCACAGGGTGCTCAGGCACTGGAACAGGCTGCCCAGGGCAGTGCTGGAGTCACCGTCCCTGCAAGTGTTCACACACCGTGGAGGCAAGGTCTCAGTGCCATGGGTTAGTGGCGGCCTTGGCAGTGGTGGGGAACGGTTGGACTGGAGGAGCTTAAAGGAGTTTCCCAACCTGGTTGATTCTGTGATTCCATGACACCTCTGATCAACCAGTGCTCAGTCACAGCAAATTGGGCTTCTAAGTGTCTGTGTATATTTGGAAACCTGGGTGTACATAGAGGAAACCTGGGTAACCCTGCACCGCATTCCACATCACAGGCACCCCTCTTTCCCTGATGGGGCTGGGGATGCTGCTGTGAACATGGGCTGCAGGACAACGTGTGCTCCCTGAGCCAGGATAGGAACATGGGGATATTCAGCTCACAGATAAGGCTTACTCCAGGCAAAGGCTGGAGTCACAGCTGTACGCATGTATGTCTAGTCATGCAATCAGCAGCACAGAACAAAACGTTTCTGTTGTTTCATTAAGAGTTACAGACAGATGGAGATACACCACATGCCTCACTGCCACCTGAGTTGAGTCAGCACATACTATTTGTATAAGGCCTCTTTTGCCTTATAAAGAGCAAGAATGAAGAGCCTAAACCTTGAGGTCTGGTTTTGCCCCAGTATATCTTAGTAATATTTTATTCTTCACCGTCACCCATAAAACGCTATGTGAGTTGGGCACAGGATAGCTATCCAAAGAAGCCCACTTCTACCTTTTTTCCCTGACCCCACATCCATCCTCAGCATACCCCCAAAACTGCTGCAAAACACAGGGTAAAATGCTAAACCTCCATGTTCCCACCTCCTTGAGGGAACAGGCAAAAAGTGTGCTCCTGCAGGAAGAACTCCCTAAGCAGATGCTTGCTATGGGGCAGCAGGAGAGTTTTCCAGGCTGGGAAAGTTATCTTCGAGCTGGTCACAGCAAATCACACACTTATGTCAACACAGTGAGGAGCTGAGCAGCAGAAACCGTCATTTCAGTCCAAAACCAAAAGGAATCCCCACCCCCAGCAACAAGTTGTCTCCAGTCCAGAGGCACAAGGAACACCAGAAGACTCAGTCTATGATGCAGCATGACTTTAATGAGATAGGAGAATAAATCAGTGCATAGTATGAGAAGTGCATTTCCAGTGCTTGGTAAAGAAATGGATAAACCCCACTCCGGGACAAGCTGATCCCTACAAGGCTGTTCCTCTGCCCCACTGCCCACTTCCCCCTACAGCCTGCTATAAGCATTTTTGCCCAGCCAGCAGCAAATGCTGTGTAGCCCCACAGGGTGTGACACCTACATGGAAATATAAAGCAAGGCTTAGTGAGAGAAAGGTATACATAGGCACGGTGACAAGCTCACATGGATCCCTTCCTCCTGGTGGGGGTCTGCAGCTCCCCCCCTCCCATCTGGGAAACCCACGGGCCTTTTCTTAGTCCTCTTCCCCGGTCTTGGTCCTGTTATTCGTTTGTCCTTCCTGATGCAGAGGTTCTGCTGGCATCAGCAGGAGGTGACCGTCACAGAGACCCCTATATCCCGCTGCTGCCTAGGCACAGCAGTCCTGCCTTCCCCAGCCCGCGGGGACCACCGGAGCCCACGGGGATCCCGCAGCACCGCAGGTAGTTCCCAACAGCGGCCGATGCCGTGGATCCCACCGTCGTGTTCTGCGGGTAAGAGCTGAGGATGGGCCCGGGCAGGGTGACCACGACAGTGGGGGGCTGGATGACGGTGGTGGAGTCCCCACAGCGGCGGAAGCAGGGCTGATTGCAGCTGGTGGCCAGTGGCCGGGGACCGCAGGAGGAGGGCAGGCACAGGTCGTAGCAGGACATTGCTCGGCAAGGACGTCTACCTGAAAGCCAGAGCCAGGTGGTAAATGCAAGGCAGAGGCTGGTCCGTCCCTGCTGAGCCCTTATTCAGTGGCTCCCATAATAAGAAGTGTGGGAAAGCAAGCTAAGGGATGAGCTTGGATGGTTTAGAAACCCCAAAGGAAGGCTTTCCAAATGGGCTTCCTCCTTTCCTCATCCCATAACTCACTTGGGAAAATGCAAGGAGTTTGGTTTGAGTAGCACATCTGGGGAAGCACCAGATGCTGAGAGCAGACCCAGCCCTGCACAATGTCTCCCTTCAAGCCAACAACAAAGCCCTCAGCAAGCAAAACGCTTCCTGAGACAAAAAAAAACAACTTAAACCAACATAACATGAGCAAGCTGGATTTAACATGAGCTGAGTTATCCCATCCCAAAACCTAAGGGACCTCTGATGCCCTTCCATAATCAGTGACGCACTGATCCCTGCAACCCGGGCATATTCTTCTTTCGGCTGAAAGGCTTCAGCAAGGCAAACCACGCAGGACGGACCTGCCTCCGTGGTTACAAGCCCCCTTACACTCCTCGCTTTGTAGCAGAAATGAAACCCTTCCCCAGCATCCTCCTCCTCCACAGGGCGGAGGGAGGGAGGCAGGTAACCAACCTGGGACTCGGGTGGAGGACTGAGCACAAGGCATCCGTGAAAGAAACAGCTCAGCTGGGAAGGAGACGGAGCCCGTCTCGCTCTCGACTTACCCAGGTGACGGCAGCAGCGGCGACTGGGAATGGGTGGTGGGGCTCGAGGCACCGTGTGGGGTTTTATAGGGTGCCCCGGCCCCGGGGGTGCGGGTGCGTACCTTCTACCTGAAACTCCCCAGCAACCGGCACTTTTCTCCTCGGAAAGCTCCCCCGGCTGGTTAAACAGTTCCCCCTTTCATCTGCCGCATTTTGCTTCCACTTCATACTGAGTAAGATTGAAATGATTTGGGCTACAGGCATTAATTACCTCACTTCCTAAGGCCAGAGTACATCTGATGCCATCAGGCAAGAGAGTGTTGCAGCAGAATTTAGGGCACATCCAGCTCATCTCTCCCCACCTTCCTCTGAGCACAAGCAATTCAGCTCCTTGGTGCACCTGAGGTGAGCTTGGGGATGTAGGTTGACTATAAGGAGCATGTATTTGTGGGTAAATCTACCACAGACACAGTCCTGAGCTAGCCTGGCTGGAGCCAGGTGTTATGCTTCTGGATCCACTGAGAGGATTTTGCCTGTTTCTGTTATTATTCCTTACACTTGTGCTATGGGTTCTGTTTGGAAGGGATATTAGATTTCAAACCCATAGGCACCTGGAGGTGGCACACATCAAATCTGACTAGTTTTGCACGCTGAACTGATTTCTGAGCCCAAGAGCCTTTCCAACTGCTCTTTGGGTGCGCTAACAGTGGCGAGCCCGAAGTTCTCAGCCCTGCTTCCTTGGGATGCAGTGATGTTGTTTAATTAGAGGCTGTGGCGTGACACTGGGTCGCCCTGCAGAATGCCTGTTAGATGCTAAGCAGTTGGGGAGTCGCACAAATCCCGACCTGCACTTAAATGTGAATCACCATCAAGTTGAGGAGAGGGAGTCGCTGATGTGGTCCCGAGCAGGGGAATGAGCCGTCAGGCTCTAGGGGCAAGGAAAGGTTGAAGAAGGCTTCTCATTTCAAGCCAGCAGAGCCTAAATGAAGGCACAAACATCTCCTGCCCTGGAATTAACCATGTCAACAGCAGGGTACATGTACTATGCATGTGTGGAGCCGAGGGTTGTTAGCATCACTGTTAAAGATGTGCCCTGTAGGGGTCTGGGGGTCATTTTAGTTTCTAGGATGAGCTGGCCTTGCAGAGCCTTGGTGACAGTGCTGAATTGTCCCTAGTGGCTCCTCTCTGCCCTGCCTGCCGAGGCAAAAAAGCCTTTCAGAGGCATTTTCAGCATCATTCTGGAAGGGGAAAGAGGAAATCAGCTTTTCTGATGTGCAGTGGGGGCTACGTGCTTCAGAAGGAATCAGCCTTGCAGCCTGCTTGGAATAAGGCTGTGGGTTCATCACAGCCTCCTAAATGGTGATTCTGTGAGTAGGAAAAGGTGAGTATTCTAAGCTTTACCCTGCTGCTTTTTGCCACCACTTTTGAATGATGAAATGATGCCACAGATTTGTGTCATGAATTAGATTAAAACAAAATAAATCTGTAAGGGAAAGAGCTCTTCCTGGAAACACAGATACTGGGGAAAAAGGCAAAGAGTGGTTTTTTTCCAACCCCTATTTGTTTCAGGGAATGAGCACTTTCTGCTTGAGACATGGCTCTCTCTGGAGGAGCCACAGCACCAAGAAAATGTCAGCAAACCAAACACATCAGACCCAGCTTCTTAACTGCGAGGAGGAGTGACCATCTCAGCCCTGGTTCTTCCTGCAGAAAAGGGCACAAGGAGAAACACGGCCCAGGACCAACACTTGCTGTGCTTCCCTTCCCATCACCAGCCCCAGCAGCACTTTGCAGCTCCAGTTTTACCACTCTGCGTTTTGATTTCCACCAACCCAAGGGCCAGATGTCTCTCAGACTGGCTGGAGGGTGGAAGCTTACCCCTGCCCCAAATGTCTCCTGAAAGCCAAAGGCACATTTTGCAACAGCAACAGGCCCATTGCATCCCATCGCCAAGGAACTACTTCATCCAGTGCACTTCCCTTAGGGCTACAGCCGACATCCCAGGGACCATTCCCATACGGTTGATGGGCAAAGTGGGACATGCTGGTGCCAGGAGCATCCTGGTGCAGACAGACTCATGCTGCATCCATGGAGCATCCTTGGCCACCTGTGCCCTTTCTGAGGCACCTGAGAGTGCTGTGTGGAACCTGGGCAGTGGAGCCCAGCCAGTGCTCTGGGCATCCCTGGGGCTGCAGGTGATCCAGTTCCATGCCTCTCACATGTCCCCTATAATTGCCAGGTCCCTGGGTGAGCTGATGCTCCCCAGCGTCACTGAGGCTGGCACCTTCCCCCCCAGGAGGCCACATCACTGCACACCAGAGCAAGGGCACACATATACTGGGGCAGACACAACCCAAGGGAATCCCAATGGAGTCAGCTTGTCTCCTTTCCCTGCAAGTCCCCAGGTTCCATCCTGCAACACCAGCACCACCAACTTAGGGGGAGCCTGCACTGACAGCTTCCCATCTCACCATCTCCAGCTGTATGTTGGTGTTTCCCCAAGGCTGTAACCCCCCCCCCCCCCCCCCCCGCCGTGCACCAAACCCCATGCCTTTTCCACAGGAAATCTGCTTGCAGCCCTGTTTCTGGCTCCGGAGGAGCTGACAAAGGGAAGCAGCTCCCAGCTCAATCCCAGCAGCACTTCCTCAAGGCATGGGAAGGAAACATGTCCCCAGGGAAGGTCAAAAGGCCAGCGTACAGCTTGCAGTGTGGGCTACTAAGCCTGAGCATCTTTGCCTTTGCCTCCAAGACATGGCATTGCTTGGCTACATCCTCATCTGTGGAAAGGGGTGGGAGCAGGGAAGGAACCAGCAATGCTGGCACAACAGGTTTAACTAGCCACATGGAAGCACAGGCAGCTCTGTGAAAGGCAAGGCTACCCTCTCCTCAAGACCTCTGGATTTCAGCCGTTAAAGCCTCACAGCATGTGGGGTTTTACCTCTTTTATCTGCATCTTGCAGTAGTTCATCCTCTCCTCTCTCCAGAACCTCCACTGCGAGCACTGCATACCCAGGAGGGAGCTCCCACCCATAGCAGCTATGCTGTGTGCTAGTGATGGTGGGGGCTGGAGCAGCTCTGCTCTGGAACTAGGCTGAGAGAGCTGGGCTGGTTCAGCCGAGAGAAGGTTCCTTCAGGGGAGACCTCAGAGCAGCTCCAGTGCCTAAAGGAGCTGCAGGAAACCTGGAGGGGGGCTTTGGACAAGGGCCTGTAGGGCCAGGACAAGGGGAATGGCTTTAACCTGCCAGAACAGGGGAAGTTGAGATGAGCTCTTAGGCAGAAGCTCTTCCCTGTGAGGGTGCTGAGGTGCTGGCACAGGGTGCCCAGAGAAGCTGTGGCTGCCCCATCCCTGGCAGTGTTCAAGGCCAGGTTGGACACAGGGGCTTGGAGCAACCTGCTCTAGTGGAAGGTGTCCCTGCCTGTGGCAGGGGTTAGAGCTGGATGAGCTTTAAGGTCTCTTCCAACCCAAACCAGGCTGTGGTTCTATCACCTCCCTCCTGCCTCTCCCTGTTTTGCTCAGCCATGTTAAATACACATCTGCCTCTGCACTGTTGCTCCCACTTGCCGAACCTGCTCCAGTTTGCTCAGGGACCTGCGTTGTCCTTCAGTGCAAGGTGCCTGGCACCACGCTCCCATGCCTGTCCCCTTGGCTCCCCGAGCCCACGGGCCAGCCTGTTACACCTCCTCCAAGAGGCAAAGCACTGAACCATGGTAAGCAGCAGGCTTGGGGGTCCCAAGAAGGTGGGATTCAAACCCACACATGCGGAGCACAGTAGATTAGCAGTGCATCACTTCCACCATTCAGCCACCTCATCTCCTCCTTCAGACCCTTTCTTAGGGAACCTTTTCCCCTTTTCTGACCAAAGGCTGCAGACTGTGGCTGGTTCTTCAGAGCAGAGCAGAGCCCTGGCAACACATCTGACTGGACCTCCCCACGCTCCCTTCTGTCCCTGTGTTCAGAGGATGGCAAAGGGAGAGGTGACATTTATTTTTGCCATAAAAGTGTGTACCCCAGGCTGTCCCAGGTCTCCATCAGCCCCACACCTCCACTCACCCCCCCCCCCCCAAACCTGTGTCCAGAGGGTTTTCTTGCATGATTCAGCAGTTGTGCAAATGAATGGGGAAGATGCTGGATGTCCAGCCACCACAGGGGGTGCCTCTTTGTGTACCAAATCCCCTGGGTTTGGAGATGGTTTTGGGTCATCTCTTCACTGTGAGCTCCTTCCCCACAGAGTGGGGTTGTCCGGCACAGAGCTGCAGGGGTCACCACTGCGAAGACCCAAAGCAATGCCCCCAGGTTGGGGCAGGGAGGAAAAGAAGCCCCTGGGCCAGGCACCACTGCGAGTTGAATCCAGGATCTCCTGTTTACTAGACAGGCACTTTAACCAGCTGAGTCATGGTGCCCACATGGCCCACACCATGGGGTGCCCCACTCCTGTGGGGTACACATCACCCCCTGACCCAAACCTCAGCTCCCAAACCCTTCCCTCTGCTGGGAGGACCCCCAGTGCTGACACAGGGAATCCAATGCATCCCCTACCAGCACCAGCTGGGTTTTGGGGTCCCAGCCTCTGCAGGGACTTGTTGTCCCCCTCCCTTTTCCCATGAGTGCCCAAAGCCATCCCAATCTCCGTGCAGCCTCAGGGCTCAGGCAGTCCCAAAGACTCCATTGTTTTGAGATGCATGAAACACAGCAAGGGAAGAGTGGCCTAGAATAGGTCCTCAGTGCAGTGGATGCTGGGGCATCCATGCTCACCTAGCTCCATCTCTCTGGCCTGCCCCCCGAACTGGGTAGAGGACATGGGAAGGGGACAGAGACCTCCTCAGCCATTGCCACCCAGCAGGAAAGCTGAAAAGCCAAGGATGAAACCTGGCCCACAGCACCCTCCAGCCATGCCAGCTCACAAATGGGACCCTCCAATGGGGAGTGCCCCAACCCCAGCATCTGCAGCTACTCTGTGCTCTCCTTTATAGGTGCATGGCAGGATAGGGGCAGGGTCCGTGTGGAGGGTCTCCGCTGTGCTGCAGATGCACATCCCAATTTGCTGTTTTCAGGGGTATGAGTGTCTCTTAGAGGGGGAGACTCCCAGGGTTCAATGAGCCCTTGTATTGGTCACACACTGCAAAAGGAGGTGGAGATGCTGGGGGTTGAACCCAGGGCCTCTTACATGCAAAGCAAGCGCTCTCCCGCTGAGCTACATCCCCTCTGCAGGGGCAGCTCTGCCCACCTGCACAAGTCCCCTCACCCCCCACCGCTGCCCCACTGACACTGCTCCCCCTGCTCTGCCCCAGCGCTCTCCCCACAAAAACACACCCTCATGCCCTGGTGATGCCAAGGTCCCCACACCAATGGGGAAGATGGTGCCCAAAAGCAGGGCTCGTCCGGGAGTTGAACCCGGGACCTCTCGCACCCTAAGCGAGAATCATACCCCTAGACCAACGAGCCGGGGTGTACAGCTGCATGGGCACCCCCTCCCTGTGCCGGCATGGGGGTGCTGGGGGGTCGCTGTGCCCAGGGACCCCAGGGCCCCCCGGATGCTCTTTGGATCCAGGAGCAGAGTGGGAATGGGGTCTGTGCCAGTATTCATCCCAGAGATTTTCCTGCTTCCCTGGTCAAAAAGATGCCCAGGAGGATCATGGGGTGTCTGGGGATTGTGCCAATGGGGACAGACACCAAGTGGCAGTGGAGCCATGGAGGGGGGCTGGAGAACCCAGTGCAGACTTGGGGTATGGTTACACCTTCAGGTGCAAGAGGAATGTGGGTCCAACTCCCAGTCCTTCCATGGGCAAAGCCTGCCCTGCTTTTGCCTGGGGCACACAGAGCTCATTTGGGATGTTACCCAGTCCATGCCTATCCCTCATGGGCTGATGCCAGGCAGTGAGTGCCCAAAAGCAGGGCTCACCCAGGAGTTGAATTTGGGACCTCTCACACCCTAAGCGAGAATCATACCCCTAGACCAACAAACCGGGGTGCTGCACTCCATTGCACCCCAGCCTCTGTGACCCACACACCTTTGGGATTTTGGGGTGTGCATTGTAGGAGCAGGGAGGTCCCTCTGCCTGTGGCTGCTCCATGGCCATGGGGCATCAGCGCCCAGCATCTCCCACACCATTCAACCCCAGAGTTTGTCCTCCTCTTCAGACATATAGAGGTTGAAATGCCCAGTGATTTGCAGCATCTCCAAACCGTATTCCTCCATGCGGCATCCCTCAAAACCAATGTGCCCCTGTGACCTGGCTCCTTGTCAGTCCCTGAAAATTCCTTGCTGCTTCCTTCTACTCACCAGAGCTGCTGAGTGTGGGGTTTGGAGCTTTGGAGGCTCTGGGTGACCGCGGGTGCCCCTTGGCTGACAAGGGGCCTGGGAGAGTGGGGTGGTCTGAGGCAGAGAGGGGACATATTTTTCTGGATGCAGCCCCCAGCAGAGCAGCCCACCGGGGATATGACCCCGTCTGTGCCCTGTCCCCATAGGGTGTGCCAGGCAGTGGGTACCCAAAATCAGGGCTCGTCCGGGATTTGAACCCGGGACCTCTCGCACCCTAAGCGAGAATCATACCCCTAGACCAACGAGCCAAGGTGCTCAGCTGCACGGGCAGCCCCTCCACCGTGTCGGCACCGGGGTGCTGGGGCCGGGGCCCCAGGGGTAAAAGACCTCAGTATATGAGTTGTTAAATGCCTCATGTTGGGTAACCAGGACTCCCATTTCCTTCAGTTTTTCCCTAGTCTTCTTTTTATCACTAATATACCTATGGAAGCAAAAAGAGTGAAATTTTACGTTAAAATAATTATATAGAGCAACAGAAATGACTATATTTAAAAGTTTTCGAATCAATAGTAGACTTCTGTATATTAAAAGAATGTTGTAACTTTGCTGTGGTAGCCTCAACAGTAGAAACTAACATAACAACGAGAAGGACACAGGGTATCTGGCCTAAGACCTTGTAGTTTAGAACAAGGAAGCTTTGTCTAACCGTGCGTCTTGATAATACAGATGTTCATAATCTTGTATTGCTTACAAGGAAACTTTGTCTAGAAATAGAAACCATGTATCTTAAGCAGCAGAAAATTTAATCTCTGCAATATTGGTAGCTTTGTGAAATCATTGCAACATAAAAGGACAAGCCAAGCGAGGAACTGAGAATGCTGACATCCACATAATGGTTGGGGCCTGTCCAAAGAACAGAGAGGTGAAAAGAATAAGGGGAGGAAGACTCCTTACTTCATCGGACGACCACCAGAGGGGGCTGCACAAGCGTAGAAGAGGCTGATGTCGTAATGGACTAATGAAGTAATCCTTGATGCATATGTATTAGTCAATGAAGTAATCTGTGCTGAATATGTATTAGTTACGAAATTTTTAGTGTATAAATTGCGAACGCGATGTGACGGGGTCGAAGCCAGATTTGGGCGCGTGCAATAAGGCACGTCATATAACCATTCCGGTGGTCATGTGTCAGTTCTTACGCTAACATACTGGCCCCACAAGCGCCCTGCGGAAGGGACACGAGGCCCACTGCTTTTGGCTACCCACTGCCAGGCACAGCCCATGAGGGACGGGACATGGAGCGGGTGATACCCCCGGTGGGCAGCTCTGCTTGGGCCTGCGGGGCATGGTGCAGGCATGGCGGTGGCAATGCAGCTCGGCGGCAGCAGCTCTGTGCCCAGCGTGGCACAGTGAGAGCAGCCCTGGAGATGGCAGAGTGGGAGATGCTGGGCACTGACATGCCAGAGCCACCTCCAGCTGCTGGTCCATGGAGCAGCCAGAGCCGCAGGGACCTCCCTGCTCCCACATCGTGCCAAAGGAAAAGCACTGCCCCACCGCACCCCAAACTCGCAAAAGTGGGTGGGTCACAGAAGCTGGGGTGCAATGGGGTGCGATGGGGTGCAGCACCCCGGCTCGTTGGTCTAGGGGTATGATTCTCGCTTTGGGTGCGAGAGGTCCCGGGTTCAACTCCCGGACGAGCCCTGCTTTTGGGTACCCACCCCACACCTTGGTGCGAGGACCTTGGCATTAAGCAGGGCAGGTTAACCCAGTGTGCAATGGCAGCGGTGCCCAGCACAGCAGCGTCGCTGCCCAGCACTGGGGTGTTGGTGCGTGGTCGTGGTGTGGGCAGGTCCCCGTGCTGGGGCTGGAGCCCAAGTAGGCGGCAGAAGGCGGTGCGGGGCTGCGGGCAGGAGACAGACGGAGCCCGGGGTGGGAAAGGGCCTTTGGAGCGGCCCCGGGCAGCGCAGAGCAGACGGGAGCTGCCCTGAGGTGCGTTTTTGTGGGTAGGGCGCTGGGGCAGAGCAGGGGGAGCGGTGTCAGTGGGGCAGCGGTGGGGGGTGAGGGCACCTGTGCAGGTGGGCAGAGCTGCCCCTGCAGAGGGGATGTAGCTCAGCGGGAGAGCGCTTGCTTTGCATGTAAGAGGCCCTGGGTTCAACTCCCAGCATCTCCATCTCCTTTTGCCTGCCCAGACCCCCTTGGCTGTTAGAGCCCCGCACACTTCATACCCCAAAGAGCCCTGGGGCTGCTTCCCGGCCCCAGCAGCCCATGAAGAACTGCGCCCGGGTCTTTTCCTGCACTGCCTGGGTGCTGCAGGGTGCAGGGGCACCTCGTGTCTCTTCCGCAGGGTGCTTGTGGGGTCAGTGTTGGTGTTGGCAGGAGCTGCCCAGCTGGGGAGGCCTCATCTCCTGTCCAGCTGTGCCGGGCAGCATCGGCCCGGCTGTGCCCAAAAGCAGGGCTCGTCCGGGAGTTGATCCTGGGACCTCTCGCACCCTAAACGAGAATCATACCCCTAGACCAACGAGCCGGGGTGCGCAGCTGCACGGGCACCCCCTCCCTGTGCCGGTACCCGGGTGCTAGGGGGTCGCTGTGCCCAGGGACCCCGGGGTCCCCCAGATGCTGTTTGGGGACGGGCCCTGTCCCAGCCCCAGCAGCAGAGCGGGGACGGGGTCTGAGCCGGGATGCACCGGACACCCCGGAGCCTTCCCCATTTCCCAGGACACCGGGGTGCCTGGAGGGAGCAGGGGATGCCCGGTGGATGGGGCTGGTGCCCCCCCCGGGGTGCCCAGGGCTGGGGCTGTGATGGCCGAGGGGTGAAGGCGTTGGACTCGAAATCCAATAGGGTTTCCCTGCGCAGGTTCGAATCCTGCTCACAGCGACAGATTTTATCTGCTGCCCTTGTGCCCACACAGGGGGGGCTGTGGAGCATCTGTCCCTAATCACATCACCATGCAGTACTGGTGGTCCTCTTGCTGTGTGCTTTGGCCAGGACCCTGCTGCCCCATCCAATAGCTACAGCTTAACGCTCAGTACAGCAGATGTTTTCCATCATGTGGTATGACCTTCTCATAGCAATTAGTAAGTGCTTGTTGGTAATTAGTGGTCTAGGCTGGTGCTGGTGAGCACTCATTACCCTTGAGCCTGGAGCTGCTCCAGTCACAGAGCAGTGACCACATTGTTTATACAAGACCCTTTTCTGGCCACAGGTCAATGCAGTTAATGAGAAACCCTGGCTTGGTGAAGAGACAACTGGTTGGGTGCTGGGAACCCTTTTATTCCACAGTGGGACAATCTGGACAGACAAGCCCACAGGACACAAGAAGCTGAGCCAGGGGCCACAGGCAGACCCTGGTACCATGGCCAAGCTGGTGGAGTGTGTCCCCAACTTCTCAGAGGGGAATAACAAAGAGGTGAGTGAGCACACAGAAGGGCTGTGGGGTGGGTGATGTTGGGGTGCTGATGGCTGAAGATACCTAAAGGCAGCCAGCCCCTACTCCCTTTTGATATCTGGGTGAGAACTGGGGGCTCAGACCTCCCCCTCCTCACTGCCTGCAGGTTGCTGTAGCACTAGGGTTTGGGGTGGTCTGCCTTCAAGAAGTATTGCTTGCGGTTATTGTCCCAAAACACAAAGTGTGGGTTAATGGACTTTGTGCTGGCCATTGGCCCTGGGCTGAACTTTGTCCCTGCTGAGGGCAGCGAATTCAGCAACCACCAGATATCAGTAAAACCACTTCTTCCCCCAGGGAACAGGCTTTGCAGACCAAAATCTGTTTTGAAGCTGGCAGGGGATGGCATCCTCAGGAACAGCAATTTGTGATGATGTCTCTGACATGCAGTAGCAGCCGGGTGTCTCTCTCCCACCTTAGAATCCCAGACTGGGTTTGTGTTGGAAGAGACCTTAAAGCTTATCTAGTTCCAACTCCCTGCCATGGGCATGGACACCTTCCACTAGAGCAGGTTGCTCCAAGCCCCTGTGTCCAACCTGGCCTTGAACACTGCCAGGGATGGGGCAGCCACAGCTTCTCTGGGCACCCTGTGCCAGCGCCTCAGCACCCTCACAGGGAATATTTAATCTGAATCTTTCAAATTAAAGCCCCCTTGTCCTGTCACTCCTTGCCCTTGTCAAAAGCCCCTTTCCAGATTTCTTGTTGGTCTCCAACAAGTTTGTTGGAAGCTGCTTTAAACTGTGGTGGGTTTGGGGCTTCCTGGGAGCCAGGGGTGTCTCAACCCCCCTGGGTGAGAATGTCATGATGGTGCCTTTGGATCCTGCATCCTCTGCAGTGCAGGGCTGCATTCCCACTGATCATAGATGGGGTCATCCCCAGCTACCTGTGCCCATGTCTTAAGGCAGCGCTTGGCAGTGGAGCTGGGGGTGCCTGGTGAGTGGGGTCCCACCACTGCACACTTCCAGCTATGGACAAACTGCACATGATTGACCAAATGGGGTTTGCTTCCAAATGGTCCAAACTGGACCCTGCTAGATGATGACCAACCCTTACCTGGCTGTGCTCACCCCCAGCTTTCTCTTGCAGTTTACCTCTATGCAGGGGCAGCACAGGAGGAGAGCAGGAAAGCTCTGCCCACCATTGCCCTCAACATCCGTGAGCAGGGGCGCGGCACTGACCAGGTACCCCCGTGCCATCAGCGCACTGGGAGCAGTTTGCCCCTGGTCCTCCCGGGCCATGCCTTGACCATGGAAGTTCTTGGCAGCCTGGGCGCTTGAAGAAGGTGCAGGGCATCGGCTGGTATCTGGAGGAGGAGAATGTAGCCCAGGTTTCAACGAACCTGCTGGACTTTGAGACCACACCGCTCCATGCCATCTATGAGGAGGTGTGCCAAGATGCCAAGGTGGGTCAGCGCACCGTGATTGTTTCAAAAGGGGCTTTGCAGAGGATGTCTCCCTCCAGGCTTTTCTCCCCATGCCAAAGTCAGGCTCTGCTTTACCTCACACTTGGCTCAGCCAAGCTGGGCAGAGCACTGAATGGCATGAAACCCACACGAGCTCAGCGCCTTGCCTCAGCTCCTCCACTGAGGGCTTTTCCATGAGCTCTTCAGGTCCCGGGAAGGGATGAGGACCAGAAGGCTGGGGTGATGGTGGTGGCAGAGCAGGTAACTCTCGGGACAGTCGCGTTTCTGATGTCCGCCACAGGCACTGAATCTCCCCGTGGTGGGGTCCCAGCTGGTGGGGCTTGTCCCCAAGAAGGCCTTGCTGGACGCAGCCGAGTTTTACATGAAGAAGGAAAACCTCTTCATCCTAGAGGAGGAGCAGAAGATCAGGATGGTAATGTGGCTCTTCCTGGTACCCAGACAAGGGTGGGATCATGACAAGAACTCATGCCCAGCCTCCCAAAGTGGCCCTGAGCAGAGATTTGCGACCACGGCAGCCTCCAGGGTTGCCTACAGGGACCCCTTGTCTACAGGGATGGTTCTTGGCAAGCTGTAAGGGCACAGTGAGGGGGATAAGAGGATGCTGAGATACTCTAGGGAGCAGAGAGCCTATCCTGTGAGGACAGTGTGTGGGCAGCAGCTCCCCATCTTGCCTGCATGGAGGCCAGGAGGGGAAGAAGACCCCCAGAGAGCTCAGGGACAGTGTGTGGCATTACAGGAAGCTGCCCCAGGACCAGCATAAGCTGGGAATGAACAGGCAGGCTCTGCTTTTCAGCTGCAGGAGGGAGGGACTTTTCCACCCTATGGGGAAGGTGCTAGATAAGAGCAAGCTAATGATTTACTGGTGCTGCTCCCTGTTGTTTGCAGCCATCTGGACTGGACTGGGCTGGGCTGGGCTGGGCTGGTGCTGCCTGGGGTGATGGCCCCAGTAACTCTGTCTAGGGCGGGATCACCCATAGTTAATCAAGAACAGCGAATGAGGATGCAAGGGGACTGACATGGCAGTGCTGTTCCTTGCAGGTGGTCAGCCGGCTGGGCCTTGACTCCCTGGCTCCGTTTCACCCCCGGGAGCGCATCATCGAGTAGGGATCCCCATCCTGCTTCTCATCACGGTGCCCATCCCTACCTGGATAGAGGGGATCCTGCTGCCTATGTCTTCCCTTCAGCTTACTTTGGGAGAGGCGCCTGCACTCAGCTTCCCTGAGCATCTCTGAGGGGCGCTGTGCAGGCGCGGGGTGGTCCTTGCTCCCCAACGCTGATGGTTGTGGACGTGTCAAGGGGGGGACTCCAGGTGTCTCTGGCGAGGCAGCAGGAGCAGGTTTCAAGAGGGTGGATAAAAACCTGTTGGAGAAGGGACCGGGTGGTGGTTGTGGTGGGGGCTCTGACCCGCAGGCCTGCTGTGCTGCAGGTACCTGGTGCAGGCAGGAGAGGCTGGTGATGGAGGGCTGGCGGCCAAGCCGCTGGGTGCCTTTGTGCGAGCGGTTGGTGGGAGATCAGCAGCACCGGGAGGAGGCTCTGTGTCTGCAGCCGCGGGTGCCCTGGTGCGTGCCCCACGCTGGGATGGGGTCCCCTGGCTGTGCCGAGCCCTCAAGGGGAGGTGACACGACTGTAGTGGCGGATGATGTGTCCTGATGGAGGATTTAACTCCATGCCCTCACAGGGAGCAGCGCTGGCATGCATGGGGGGGCTGATGAGCTATGGGAAGAGGCAGTTTGAGGCGCTGGACCCCATCATGAGGAAGTTGATCCCCACCTTCCACCAGGCCATGGATGAGCTGCTGGTGATGGTGGACGCTGACTCCCGCGCCTTCAGCAGCTACATGGTAAGGTCGGCAGCAGGTATCATGTGGGAAGTGGAGGGGGACCAGTACTGCTGCTCCCTGGTGCCCTTAGGAAAGGGGCTGTGACCTTGGCCCAAGACAGGGCCAGGGGAAAGGGCATAGAAGAATACAATGGTTTGGGTTGGAAAGGACCTTAAGGTTAACTAGTTCCAACCCCCTGCCATGGGCAGGGACACCTCACACTAAACCATGTCAGCCAAGGCTCTGTCCAGCCTGGCCTTGAACACCGCCAGGGATGGAGCATTCACAGCTTCTCTGGGCACCCTGTGCCAGCGCCTCAGCACTCTCACAGTAAAGAACTTCTGCCTTATCTCCAACCTGAACTTGCCCTGTTTCAGTTTGAACCCATCACCCCTTGTGCTATCACTACAGTCCCTGATGAAGAGTCCCTCCCCAGCATCCCTGTAGGCCCCCTTCAGATACTGGAAGCTGCTCTGAGGTCTCTATGCATCACCTACAGGAGGTTTACAAGAGCATGGGAGCTCCTGGGTCTGCCCTGGCCCCCAGCGCGGGGCACGCAAGGGTCTGAGAGTGAATGGCAGCAAACCTGCTTTTCTTTGCCTGCAGGAGGCTGTGAAGCTGCCCAGAAGCACCCCTGAGGAGCAGGAGAGGTGAGCAGTGCTGGTGGGGACAGGCAGCCGGGGGGAGCACGGCCACGCAGTGCTCATGTCCCCCTTGTCAGGCGCACGGCTGCCATGCAGGAGGGGCTGAAGACAGCCGTGAGGGTGCCCTGTGCCCTGGCAGAGAAGGTGAGCAGGCTCTGGCCTGCTCTGAAGGAGCTGGCCCATCACTGCAACCTGGCCTGCAGGTCCGACATCCAGGTACAGCCCTGTGCTCACCTGCTGCCCTGGCTGGGGCTTTGGAGGCTGCTGGGCTCCCTGCTTTTCCCTGCACGGGCTCCCATTGTGGCCTGACCTCCAGGGTGCATCTCTCCATCCAGGCTTCCCTAACAGCCCAGTGGTTCTCACCCACTAACTTTATGGCAGCTTGCAACCCTTGTTACAAGAGTTGACATCTACAATCCCTTGCCTAAGTTTTCCAACCTCTGTGGCAATGCCGTGAATCGTAGAATCATGGAATGGTTTGGGTTGGAAGGGACCTCAAAGCTCATCCGGTTCCAATTTCCTGCTGCAGGCAGGGACACCTTCCACTAGAGCAGGTTGCTCCAAGCCCCTGTGTCCAACCTGGCCTTGAACACTGCCAGGGATGGGGCGTTCCAGGCAGTGGAATGGTTCCCACTGCTGAAAAGAGCATATTGGAAAGTGTGGGGTGGGAGTCCTGCAGCAAACACATCTGCCCTGCTGCAGGACCATGTGGTGGGACTCTGATCCAGCGGGAGAGCTCCTCGCAAGCCTCTTTCCTAGGTGGGAGCCAAAATGCTGGAAGCAGCTGTGTTCGGAGCTTACTTCAATGTCATGATCAACCTCAAAGACATAACAGATGAGGAGTTCAGGCTTGCAGTGAGCCGGGGCCATGGTGGTGGGGATGAGGTGGGGCAGAGGTGGAGAGGAAGCCCCTGGGAGTCCTCATGCCTGGGTACCCGCTCCCTTTGCCCCCAGCGGAATGCATGGGGTGGATGGGGGTTGGCTGTTTTGTCCTGTTGGACACGGTGGTGAATGGTGGGCCTTCTTCCTCACCATGCAGATGTCACAGAAGGTCTCTGGGCTCCTGGAGGAGGCAAAGCAAGGCTCGGCGCTCGTGCTGGTGCTGCTGGAGAAGCGGGTGGCCTGAGAGGAGCTCTGCAGTGGCAAATACAGCTGGGAAACATGATTATCTCTGCCTGGGCTCTTTCAGTATCTACTTTGGGAGAGCTACTCTGCCCAGGCACATCCCAACGTCCTGCCCCCTGCTCACCTTGACCTGGCCAAGGGTGACTTTTTGCTGCCTGGGGCTCAGATCCCAGTCTCCATTCCCCTATGCCTGGCCACAAGGAGCCAATTAGGCTGGCAGCGCCTGTGGTCAGGGATCCCAAAGGAGCGGGATGGCAGAGACCCCATGGTGCTGCCCCCAGAGAGATCCTGAAGTGTGACCAGCTCCTGACCTCGCACGCCCCAGTGTGCTTCTGTGCCCACAGGGCTGGGACAGGACCTGGCGTAGTCTCTGGTGGTGCATGCCCAGCCCAGCCCAGCCCATTGCATTGTTCACTGCTCTGGGAAGGGAGCATTGTCAAACGCGGGGCAGTATCGGGGTGTTAGCAGGGAGATGGGGAGGGGATGAAAAGAGCTCTGGCCCCTTCTCATAGACACCCAAGAGAAAGACCTGAGCACTGGAGCATCCAGCCCTGCCTCTTGTCTCTGTTACCTGAGTCTGATGGCAGGTATCAGCTCCTCGACTTGCACACCATGGCAGCACCCCGAGCAGTGTCACAGCGGGTCGATAGCTGGACCCTGAGCCTCACTGTCCCACAACACTGCCTGCAGGACGGTGACCCCCTTCCTGGGCCAGACCCTGACCCAAACCCCAGTGTCCGTGCTGGGAGCACTGAGCCTGACCCCATCATGGAACCACAGAATGGTTTGGGTTGGAAAGGACCTCAAGATCATCCAGTTCCAACCCCTGCCACGGGCAGGGACACCTTCCACTAGAGCAGGGTGCTCCAAGCCCCTGTGTCCAACCTGGCCTAGAACACTGCCAGGGATGGGGCAGCCACAGCTTCTCTGGGCACCTTGTGCCAGCGCCTCAGCACCCTCACAGGGAAGAGCTTCTTCCTTATCTTCAACCTGAACTTCCCCTGTTTCAATCTGAACCCATCACCTCTCGTCCTATTGCTGCAGCCCCAGATGTAGAGTCCCTTCCCAGCATCCTTGTAGCCCCCTTCAGACACTGGAAGCTGCTCTGAGGTCTCCACACAGCTTCTCTTCTCCAGGCTGAACACCCCCAGTGTTCTCAGCCTGTTTTAGTATGGGAAGTGCTCCAGGCCCTTCTCACGGTTGCGGCCTTCAACATGACCAGGAGGTGAAACCACCACCCTCCATCCCCTGTGTTTAACAGCCCTGTGGGACCTTTGTGCAGCAGGGAGTGGAGTGTTGATGTTTCCGGCGTGCCTATGGTGACATGCGATGGGAGCAGTGCCGCCAGTTCTACCTAGTGTTCCATCTGGTGTCACCCCTTCCTGCTGCACCCCTTCTCCCCTGGGCAGGGCCCCTCTATATAAGGGATGCCAAGGACAGCAATTGGGGTTCTGCTGGCAGCGGTGCTTCCAGAGGGTGCTGCAGCATTGCCTTTACCAGGAGCTTCCCTGAGTATTTGGTGAGTGGAAGCTTCCGGAAGCGTTCGCATCAGGCAGAGAGCAGGGGACAGTGGGAGCGTAGGCACTCGTGGGTCGGGGTGCACTGTCCTCATGGCTGGCATCACGCCAGGACATGGTGTCCTCATCCCCTTGACATCCACGAGGATATGGGCTGGCACCCGGGCTTGGTTCATGTTTTTCATTGATGATGGAAACCACACACACAGGATTTGGGGTGCACAGAGCTTGGGACAGCCCTTCTCAAGGCTGGCACTGTCACCCAAAGGGACAGGACAGCTGTCGGGGGGTCTGGGGGGGGATGCGCTCCTGCAGAAGTGAGTGGGGGCTCAAGGGCTGTGATAGAGGAGCTGGGTCCTGGCTGCTGGCAGGGCGACGGTGTCCCCACACCAGGAGGTGTCACTGATGATGCCTGTCCTTCCCTTGCAGCTTGGGGGTCACCGAGGATGCCAAACCCACACCCAGGTGAGGAGTTGTGGGGTCAGGCAGGACTGTGGGTATCACACAGCCATTGCAGAGCTCGGTGCAATAACCATGGGCACCTGGGGGATTAGCTGTGTACCAAAGGGGAGTGGGGCATCATGTGTGGGGAGGAGTCCTTTGGGTGCATGGGTACACCAGCTCCCAGCTCTCCTCTGTCCAAGGAGAATCCCTCTCTGCTTGCTAACAAGCCCCTCTTCTTCCTAGGTGGACCTGGAGGGGTGCCACCACATAACCCTGGTGCTGGTCCCTGCCCTGGTCACCCTCCAGGCCACCCTGGTGGCCATCCCCATGGCCCTCCTAAGCCTGGTCCCCACCAACCAGGGCATCCTCCCCATGGGCACCCTCCTCCAGGACCCCCTCACAGCCCTCCAAAGCACCATTAAGAAGGATGAGAAGAAGCTCTCCAAATACTGCAGAGGCAAGGTAAGAGTGAATCTCTGCTGTGGTCCTTCACCCGCCTTACTTATGCCATAGAATACAGCCTGGATAGCTGGGGCTCCCCTCTTGCACTGTTTGGAGCAGAGTGTTGGAACCCTTGTTGGTTGTTTTTAGACACAGAGAGTCTTGCTTGGTTAATAAACAGGCAAGCCTGAGTCATTTCAGGTGATCCATGAAATTGCTGAAGCCATCTGAAACAGTGACACAGCTCAGGGTGTATTAAATCCCATTTAAGTTCCTTCTTAAATCAAACCAAACCAATAAACCAATCCCAATCACCAGATAAAGGAAAAGCAATTCTCTATGCCAGGAATAGATGCTGCAGAAAATGCCATGCCAGTGATAGGCACCATCCAGAGCAGGTCTGAGTGAGAGACTGTGAACAAAACCCCAGTTCCACCATTCAAGGTAGAAGCATTCCCTATATGAAGCAAACCATTAGCTTCTGTAGGGGTGTAATAGCTCTGGAAGTGATTCACCTTGATGTTCACCCTTGCTGACAGAGAGCAGGACCTTTCTGGACTTAATTGCTTCAACAGCCTTGAAAATAACAATAAAACCCCGTCCCTCCCATGATATGCCCATAATTATATTCTCCAAGCACAAAAAGAGTGACTCCAAGCTCTAAAACATGGTTTATAACAGCATTGCAATAAAGATTGTGGTGACAATTAGTAGCAGTTTCATCTTCAAGTCAAAGGATCCCAGCTGTGGTTTACTGTTCTGAGGCTGTGGTGCTGACTCTCATGTAAGTTCACAGCATCACAGTCATAGAATCATATCATAGAATGGTTTGTGTTGGAAGGGACCTTAAAGCTTATCCAGTTCCAATCCCCTGCCACAGGCAGGGACACCTTCCACTAGAGCAGGTTGCTCCAAGCCCCTGTGTCCAACCTGGCCTTGAACACTGCCAGGGATGGGGCAGCCACAGCTTCTCTGGGCACCCTGTGCCAGCGCCTCAGCACCCTCACAGGGAAGAGCTTCTGCCTAAGAGCTCATCTCAATCTCCCCTGTTCTGGCAGGTTAAAGCCATTCCCTTGTCCTGTCCCTACAGGCCCTTGTCCAAAGCCCCTTTCCAGTTTCCCTGTAGGATCACCAACACCCATCAGAAATGGTGTGAAAGGGGATTGTTTCTGTGCTTTATCTCCTCCAGCACTCCAGCAGCTCAAGCAGCAGTCCTGACTCTGACAGAAGAGGACATCTCCTACTCATACTGAAGCAATGATACACAAAGACAAATGCCCCATGGGAACCACCTGCACGTTGCTCCACTCTTTCCCCCTTTCTCTTAGAGCTGCATTTCACCCATTGAGTGATTTCCCTATTTTTACCTTGTAAACTCTTTTACCTGGATTCACTGTGAGACAATGGGCTCTGTCTGCTGTCTTTTGGGAGAGCCCACTAAAATAAGGGCAGTATCATGATGCTTGTTTGCAGTCTGCTGGTGTCCATGTGTTTTTTCCAGTGCAATGATGCTTGCTGCCAATTTAGCTCCTTAGGTTTTCCCAGCTGTAGCAGAGGGCCTGGGTGGGGAATGCCATAGCTTTCCCCAGCTGGGCTGTATGGTTTGCCATCCTCCACTCCAGGGTAATCACTGATAGTAGTGAACTGCCTTTCTGAATCCTCTGAGCCATAGGACTGTGGCATGCTCACCAGGAAAGGTGAAAAGCCTGGCAGTGCTTTCACCACCTCAACCATTTCAACCCGGGACTGCTCTTGCTGCTGTTTTTGTTTAGTTTTGTTCATTGCCATGGCTCAAGAGGACCCTTCCTAGCCCCATTGCTGCAAGCCAGTGTGGTGGCTGCTGGAGCCAGTGGCACAAGCAGGAGCAACCTGCACCCTACACCCGCACTTCCAGCTCTTCTGCACCCTGACCCTGGGGGCCCCTACACACAACCCGTACACTGCCCAGCGTCTCCTCCCCATCCCACCTCCACCACCTTACACAAATGCCCCCCATCCTCAGAGGGTTCCCCTGCTCTGCTGTCCCAGCTTGAGATACTCGAGTGCTGGATGCAAGAGGGGATGAAGAAAGTGTGGGCTCAGGTGTAATGCCTGGTGGGATGGGGAAAGCCACAGCCCCCCCAAAGAGTCACAGAATGGCTTGGGTTGGAAAGTACCTTAAAGCTCATCCAGATCCAACCCCCTACCATGGGTATGGATGCCTTCCCCTAGACCACATCACCCAAGGCTCTGTACAGCCTGGCCAAAAGGTGGTACCTGAGGTCTCTTCACCCATGAACAGGTGAGGAACATGAAGCAAATGAGGAACATGAAGCAAGTGAGGAATGAAGACATGGTCTTTGTCACGCTGAGAGATCACAGGCTGGATGGGCACTGCAGGGGTGAGGGATCAGGAGGCAGAGGAACAGGTTTGCAAGGGGACTGATGGAGATAGTGTGGGGGGATGGACGGGACCCGTCAGCCTCCTGTGGTCCTTCAGGTTCTCAGACATGCCCCATGACCCCTGTGCTGCAGGGCTTTGTGCATCAATCTCACAGGCTGCAGGTTAGGGTCCCGTTTTGCTTTTGGATTTGTTTTTGGGTTGGGTTTGGATGGTTTGGTTCTTGTTTTGTTTGTTTGTTTTGATGTTGCTTGTTCTTCT